GAGCTCCCTGTGGGGCCGAGAAACGCTGTACTGGGCGGGGCGGACGCATGTGATCACAGCCACTGTGGCCTTCGGTGGAGCTCCTTCATGGGGCCGCGAAACGAGTACTGGGTGGCGCGGACGCATGTGATCACAGCCACCGTGGCCTTCGGCGGAGCTTCCTATACTGCCACGTAGCACCGTACTGGGTGGCGCGGACGCGTGTGATCACAACCACGGGGGCCTTCGGTGGAGCTCCCCGTGGGGCCGCAGCACGCTGTACCGAGCGGCGCGGACTCCGGCCCCCTAGGGAGCCCCAACGACGGACCCAGCGGCTGTGATCACACGCGTCCGCGCCACCCCGTACAGCGTTTCACGGCCCCGTCGGGAGCTCCTCCTCCTCCTCCTCCTCCTCCTCCTCCTCCCTCCTCCTCCTCCTCCTCCTCCTTCTCCTCCTCCTCGCCTCCGCCTCCGCCTCCGCCTCCGCCTCCTCCTCCTCCTCCTCCTCCTCCGCCTCCGCCTCCGCCTCCGCCTCCTCCTCCTCCTCCTCCTCATCATCATCTTCCTCCTCCTCCTCCTCCGAAGGCCCCAGTGGCCGTGATCACATCGAAACGCTGAACTGGGTGGCGCGGACGCGTGTGATCACAGCCACTGGGGCCTCTGGTGGAGCCCCCTGTGCGGCCACGAAATGATGTACTGGGTGGCGCGAACGCATGTGATCAAAGCCATTGGGGCCTTCGGTGGAGGGGCCATGCCACGCTGTACTGGGTGGCACGGACGCTGGGGCCTTCGGTGAAGCTCCCTGCGCGGAAACGAAGCTATGTACTGGGAGTCGCGGACGCATGCGATCACAGTCACTGGGGCCTTCCGTGGAGCTCTCTGCGCGGAAACGAAGCTCTGTACTGGGTGGCGTGGACGCATGTGATCACAGTCACTGTGGCTTTCGGTGGAGGGGCTCCGCTGTCTGGTTGACGCTGTCGCTTGGGCACCACTGGAAGCGGTACGTGCCGGCTGCTAAAGTTGGCTCTGTTGATGGCTGCATACCCCGCTGCTCTGCGCGAAGCGTCCAACTTCGTTGGTGCTTGCCGCTGTGTTTGCTGGTGAGACAGTTGTCTGGGAGTGCGCCCTGAAGGGCTCCTCCAGGTGCAGTGCTGTCGTGGAGCCGATGCCTTGCTGGGACAGGCTGTTCGCAAAGCTGACTTCACTCTGTTGGGCAGTGATCGCGGCGATGACGCTCGGGTGGCTGCGGCCTGGGGCGTTGCACATCTTGATGGTGAACATGGAGCTACCGCCTCTGTTGACACTCTGCGGCAGGAGCATGGCCGCGGTCGAAGAGGTGATCGCCTCGTGGAGGAGATGCTCGAGGCCGATCATCTGCCGTACCCCCCCCTCGGCCAGCAGGTAGCGCCCTGCTGCACCCACCCCTCGACTGTTCAGCCTGACGGGAACTCCCGAATGAGCCCGCTGCAGTGTATGTACGATAAGCATATTGGTGATTGTCCTCCCCCCGCGTCGGGCGCGGTGCGGACGACCAGGTGTCGGGCGTGTGCTTCGACCGCTACCTTGAGGTTCGGGAGGCCCAGCGATAGCGGCCACGACACACTCTGTCGGGGCCAGCGGGCCGGCCGCTCTCGGGCCTGCGGCGTTGGCCACGTGGGCGCAGCTGCGTCGGTCGGGTCTACTGGCCACCTGGGTGTGCGTGTGACCTCAGGAGGAGAAAACTTGTGTCCATCATCACAACAGCAACTTGGTCTTGGCTCGCGCGCGTGCGGTTCGCACCACGAGCCCAGCGAGAAGGCATCGCGGAGCGGAGCCGCTCCCCCAGTCGAGAGGGGTGAGAGCCGACTCTGCACTGTGCATTGCAGCACCTCCCTTGCCGAAGAAAGCGCAGCACATCCCGTGCCTTCCGAAGAAGAAACGGCGTCAACATCCACTTTCGGAGGTCCGCGCGGATCTCCTGGATCGGCGCTGGAGCCTCCTCCCTGGCGCGCGGAGCGCGCCGTGGCCGGCGCCAGAGGCGCCGACATGGGGGGGTCCAGCGCTCGTCCAAGAGATCCGCGAGGACCTTCGAGAGCTGATGCTTATGTGTATGCCGTCTTCTCTCTTGACAATTCGGTAGCACTCGTGTCCGTGCCTCCTCGGCTCGTTGTGTGAATATCCTGTCCGTTCAGGGTCCCTCTTTACATACATAGCTCTCTCTCTATATATATATATATACAAATACCTATATATGTGTATATATACACGTACATACATATGCATAAGATGTTGTAACCCATATGTGTGTATGCACAGGTTGGCCGAGAGGTGACGCGTGATGAGCTGAACCCCTTTGGGCACGCTCGCCCTCTTTCTCCCTCCTCCCTCCTCTTCCAGCCGCCGTGACAGCTCGAAGTGTGTCGATTCGGGTGCTGCAACAGGTGCAGCGACGCCCATCAGAGCGCGCGCGGCCATGGGCGGTGCGTGCTTCCAAGCATTCCGGGCCCCCGATCCCGCCTGGCACAGGCGCCGCAGGCGGAAGCGAGTTGCGGCTCGCGTTCTGCTACGAATCGGTGCTGCACCTGATCTACTGGCTCGTCATCATAGCAGTGGACCAGAAGACATGACCTAAGGACAAAGCGGCGATTCTCGCCTTCAGCCGTCTGCTCCGAGTACACGCGACAGCACTGCGGCGTGGACCAGCAAGAAAGCAGGCTGCAGCGTTGTCGTCCTCCTCATCATCCTCCTTCTCCTCCTTCTCTTTTCCTCCTCGTCCTCCTCCTTCCCCTTCTCCTCCACCTCCTCCTCCTCCTGCTCCTCCTCCTCCTGCTCCTCATGCTTCTCCTACTACTCCCCCTCCTCCTCCTCCTCCTCCTCCTTCTCCTCCTCCTTCTCCTCTTCCTCCTCCTCGTCCTCTTCCTCCTCCTCCCCATCCTCCATCCCCTTTCCTTCTACATAACTCCTCCGTGTCGTGCCCCGAGGTGTGTAGGTATGGCGGGCCTGGCGTTCCGCCTGAGACTTCCATACCACTTGTGATCCTTAGGCTGAAAATGTGCAAGATCTTCACGGATGGAGGGCGGGTCGTTTTCACAATGCGGGTATGGCCTGAGCGCCGCGCACATCCGCTTAACAAACTGCAAGAGCTTCACGGATGGAGGGTGGGTCGTTGTCAAAATGTGGGTCTCGCCTGAGCGCCTCGCACATTCGCCTCAAAAGTTTGCAAGGGCGTCAAGGATGGAGACGGATCGTTTTCCACATGTGGGTATCACCCCAGCGCCGCGCACATTCGTTTTCAAAGCCTGCCAGAGCTTCTCGGATGGAGCGCGGGTCGTTTTCAAAACGTGGGTCTTGCCTCAGCGCCGCGCACATTCGTCTCAAAACTTTGCAAGGGCTTCACGAATGCAGGGCGGGTCTTTTCCAAAATGTGGCTCCCGTCGCAGCGGCGGGTACATTCGTTTAAAGAGCTCACACCAGTTCCAACGGTTGTCATAGTTAACGCCCCAGGAATGGTGTTGGCATGATGCCAGGCCGTCAGGGCGCAACACTTACTTTGATTCGCGGTAATGATGTTCAAGGAATGTCTGGCACGACTCAAGATCGTCAAGACGAAGCAGCAGCGGTGATTCGCGGCGTTGATGTCCCAGGAATGGTGTTCTGGCACAGCCCGGGATCTTCCCAAGGTTGTCTTCCAACTAGGCACTTCCGTCTGTCAGTGAAATATGGCTCCTGGCCGGGGCCTATGAAGAGGGAACTTGGAGGGAGGGTGTACTGCAATATCGTTGATGGACCTTGGGTTTAAACTTGTCCTCCTCCTCCCCCTTCCTTCTCCTCCTCCTCCTCCTCCTCCTCCTCCTCCTCCTGCTCCTCCTCCTCCTACTCCTCCTCCTTCTCTTCCTCCTCCTGGACCCTTTCCTCCACCTCCTCCTCCCCCTCCTCCTCCGCCTCCGCCTCCTCCTCCTCCTCCTACTCCTCCTCCTCCTCTTCCGCCTCCTCTTCCTCTTCCATTTCCACTTCCCTTTCCTCATCCTCCTCCTCCTCATCCTCCTCATCCTCCTCCGCCTCCTCCTCATCATCAGCAGCATCAACAGCATCATCATTATCAGCAGCATCATCATCAGCAGCAGCATCAGCAGCATCAACATCATCCTCATCATCGTCATCAACGTCATCATCAGCATCATCATCATCACCACAATCAGCATCATCATCATCATCATCATCATCATCATCATCAGCAGCAGCAGCAGCATCATCGTCATCATCATCATCAGCATCATCATCATCCTCATCCTCATCCTCATCCTCAGCAGCAACATCAGCATCATCATCAGCAGCAGCATCAGCATCATCATCATCAGCATCACTATCACCACCATCATCATCATCATCATCATCATCATCATCATCATCATCATCATCAGCATCATCATCATCATAAGCAGCCTCATCATCATCAGCATAAGCATCATCCTCATCATCAGCATCACCATCGTCATCACAACCATAATCATCACCACCATCGTCAGCAACAGCAGCATCATCATCAACACCATCGTCATCATCAGCATCAGCATCATCATCATCATTATCATTACCATCATCCTCATCATAATCACCAGCAGCATCACCATCTTCTTCATCATCATCAGCATCGTCATAGCCATCATCATCAGCAGCATCATCATGATCACCATCAGCATCATCCTCATTACCAGTATCCTCATCTATCAGCAGCATCATCACCATCTGCAGAAGTATCATCATCAGCAGCAGCATCATCATCAGCATCAGCATCATCTTCATCAGCACCATCAGCATTACCATCATCATCATCACCAGCATCGTCATCATATTATTCTCCATCATCATCAGCATCAGCATAGCCATCATCATAATCACCATCATCATCATCGCCATCAACATCATCATCCTCCTCCTCATCATCATCATCATCACCATCCTCATCATCACCATCATCATCATCCGCGGCAGACCCCCCTCCTCAGCCGCGGCAGACCACCCCCCCCGAGAAGTGCGGGCTCCTCCTCCGACTCGCTGTGCTCCGAGCCCGCCGGCATGGGGGCGGGGCGGGCGGCCGGCCTGCCGCTCGGCCGCCGCTGTCACCTACGCGCTGGGTCCCGAGATGAGGATCGAGGAGGATCGAAGCTCGAGGGAGGAGGAGGAGGAGGAGGAGGAGGAGGAGGAGGAGGAGGAGGAGGAGGAGGAGGAGGAGGAGGAGGAGGAGGAGGAGGTAGGAGGAGGAGGAGGAGGAGGAGGAGGAGGAGAGGAGGAGGAGAGAGGAGGAGGAGGAGGAGGAGGAGGAGGAGGATCGGGGGGAAGAGAAGCTCGAGGATCGAGGAGGATCGGGAATCGGGGAGGATCGGGCACCGGGAAACTGGGAGGCTCGAGGAGGGTCGGGAGTGGATGGGGATCGAGGGCCGAGAGGCGAGGAGGAGGAGGCGGGGGAGGCGAGGGAGGATGAAGAGGATCGGCGATCGAGGCTCGACGGGGACGAGGGAAATCGAGGATGGAAGATCGAGGTTCGAGGAAGAGAATGGAAGAGCAGGATCGAGGCGAAGAGGATCGAGGAGGAGGAGGAGGAGGAGGTTCGAGGAGGAGAACGACGACGACCACAAAAAAACGACGAGAAAGACGGAACAAAGACGACGAAACAGACGAGAAGAGACGACGACGACGACGACGACGACGACGACGACGACGACGACGACGACGACGACGACGACGACGACGTCGGATAGAAAAAGACGAAGAGGATAAGGATGCTCCTTCACCTCTGGTCAAACCAAGCCAGTGCCGCCGCCACGAAGCCCGCGAGGAAGAACACGAAGACCCCGAGGAGAAAGCACTGCATCCAGCCCTCGTCAACGCCGTAGTCGAAATGCGGAAACCGACGAGGCCCACCCCGAGAACCGCGCAAAAGCACAACCAGCGAGCCACAGGAGGAGGAGGTTAAGGAGGAGGAGGAGGAGGAGGAGGAGGAGAAGGAGAAGGAGGAGGAGGAGGAATGGCCGCGATCGCGGAACCCTCTCAGGGCTCGACGGAGGAGGAGAGGAGGAGGGGGAGAAGGAGAAGGAGGAGGAGGAGGAGGAGGAAACGGGAGGAGAACGAGAAGGAGAAGGAGGAGGAGGAGGAGAAGGAGAAGGAGGGGGAGGAGGAGGAGGAGGAGGAGGAGGAGGAGGAGGAGGAGGACGACGACGACGACGACGACACGGCAGAGGAGGCCGCGGCGCCGCGGCGCCTCTCCCCCAGACCGAGCCCTCCCCCTCGGAGCCCGTGGAGCCCCTGCCGGGCACCTCGGCCCCTCGGCGGCCCCTGGCAGGCCCCCGGCGCCCGCCTGCCTGAGAGGGGCGCCCAACACAGACGGGGGCCTCCCAGGTGGGGGGTTCGGCTTCGGTCGTAGTGTTTCGGCCTCGGTCGTAGTGTTTCGAGGTTGCGGAGAGGAGGGGGCAAGAGCAGGGAGAGGCCGAGGAGCGAGGGATGGAAGGGGCGGAGCCGCCGCAGCACAAGGGAAGCGAGGCCAGAGAGGGGGGAGGAAGGAAGGAGCTCAGCAGGAGGCAAAGGAGCATTACCAGCCTGGAACATGTCCCTCTCCCTATGCTGGGCATCTCCTCATCACGATGCCAATCTTGGGGATTCCCTTATGTTTTGAGCGCGCATCCCTAAGATCGTCATCGCCTTTTGGCGTGTCAGTCTTAGGGATAGGGATGAGTGCGAGGCTGGTAATGATAGGGCAGGAAGATTGCACCGCATCGGCGATGCATCCGCGACGTCGGCGATGCATCGGCGACGTCCGCTTGGAGAAAAGCGGGTTCCACATCGAGTCGCATCGCCGACGTATCGGCCATGCGGCGCGATCCTCCGAACCCACCTGCTCCGACCCCATCTGGGAGGTCCAGTGACAGCGGGGGGGACCTGGCGCCAGGGAGGAAACATCGACCTTCGGCGGCGAGCGAGGGGGGGAAGCTAGAAGAAGAAGGCCTTCCCAGAAGGCCGCGGGGGTTCTCGGAAGCCCTTGCACCTTATGAAAGATTTTGGCATCGTCGGGGAAGACTTCGAAAACTTGTCTGAAGACCGGGGGGCCTCCGAGCCTTCTGAGAAGGCCCGCCCTTTTCTCACTTCCCCCGCGGGCTCGCCGCCGAGACCCGGAATCGGTAATCCACTGCCGATAAAGTGGCGAGTCCGCGCGCTCCCAGGCGAGGGTGGGCTGTCGGGCCCCTGCGTCCGCGGTGGGTGGACGAATCGGGGATCGATGAGCTCCCCCCTTTGGCCGGTCCCCCCCCCAAGCGATGCCACTGAGGACGTCCCCGGCGCGCCCGAAGCTGCCTGCCAGGGCGCTCTACCTGCCAGGGCGCTTCCCTGGGCAGCCCGAGGCTGCCTGCAAGGAGGACGCCTGCCTCGGCAGTCCCAAGCCTTCTGCCCCCTTCTCCCGGGAAATGTCCAGCTTTTTCAGTGCGGGGCCCCCGAAGTCCCGACCCTTTCACAAGGGCCGGGTCCTCCTCCTCCTCCTCCTCCTCCTCCTCCTCCTCCTCCTCCTCCTCCTCCTCCTCCTCCCCCTCCTCCTCCTCCTCCTCCTCCTCCTCCTCCTCCTCCTTGACAGTTCCGAGGCCTGTCGAGCGCCCCCAGAGGCCGAAAACGGCCAAGACCTGCCAGAAGCCTCACGTCGTGGCTTTCGCTACGACGCGAGCATGTTTTCGGGCCAGAACGCGTCCCTGGGCAGCCCCGAGACAGGCGGGCGGCCCAGTGGCGAAGTCTGGCAGGCGGGGGCGACGTTGAGGAGGGAGGGAGGAGGGAGGGAGGGAGGGAGGGAAATATGGAGGGAGAAAGGGGGAGGAAGGGAGGGGGGGAGTGAGGAGGAGGAGGAGGAGGAGGAAGAAGAGGAGGAGGAGGACGACGACGACGAGGAGGCGGAGGAGGAGAGGGAGGAGGAGGAGGAGGAGGAGGAGGAGGAGGAGGAGGAGGACCAGTGTAAACCCAAGAGTCAGCAACGATGTTGGCATAAATCCTCCCTCTAAGATCCCTCTTCACAGGCCCCTACAAGGGTTCATTCCCACTGGGGGAACTGCCTCGTTGGAAGACAACCGTTTAAAGATCCTGAAGCATGCCAAACATTATTCTCGGGACTCCAACGCCACGGATCAGCCTGACTGTTGCGTCTTGACGATCCCGGGCCATGCCAAACGCCACTCCTGGGACTTCAGCACCGCGAATCAACGTAACTGCTGCACCATCATAATCCTGAATCTTCCCAGAACGCCATTTCTGGTACGTTGACCATAGGACTACGTGAAACTGTTGGAAATGTTTAAAACGAATGTGCACGGCGCTAAAGAGAGAACCACATGCTCAAAACCACACGCCCTCAATCCGCGAAACTTCTGCAACGTTACAAAATTACGCTACCGAAGAACCCCACATACTTAATGTAAATATGATGTGCTTGCTTATGTCTTTAATATATGTGCAATCCTGCGTTCTGAACCCTCGTCGCGAATGTTTCCCTATGTGTCATTCAACGCCATATTGCTTGCCACGCTTTGCGAGCCCGCAACGGATAGGGAGACCACCCCCAGCGCACCCCCTTGTCGTGTCGAGGAAGTGCCACGCCTGCCACGCTTTGCGAGCCCGAAACGGATAAGGATACCACCCCCAGCGCACTCCCTGTGGTGTCGAAGAAGTGCCACGCCTGCCACGCTTTGCGAGCCCGCAACTGATAGGGAGACCAACCCCAGCGCCCCCCCCCCCTGTGGTGTCGAGGAAGTGCCACGCCTGCCACGCTTTGCGAGCCCGCAACGGATAAAGATACCACCCCCAGCGCACCCCCTGTGGTGTCGATGAAGTTCAACGCCTGCAACGTTTTGCGAGCCCGTCAAGGATAGGGAGACCAACCCCAGCGCATCCACTGTGGTGTCCGGGAAGTGCCACGCCTGCCACGCTTTGCGAGATCGCAGCGGATAAGGAGACCATCCCCAGCGCACCCCCTGTGGTGTCGAGGAGATACCACGCCTGCCACGCTTTGCGAGCCCGTCACGGATAAAGATACCACCCACAGCGCAATCCCTGTGGTGTCGAGGAAGTGCCACGCCTGCCACGCTTTGCGAGCCCGAAACGGATAGCGTCCCCACTCACAGCTCCCCCCCTGTGGTGTCGAGGAAGTGCCACGCCTGCCACGCTTTGCGGGCCCGAAACGGATAGCGTCCCCACCCACAGCTCCCCTCCTGTGGTGTCGAGGAAGTGCCACGCCTGTCACGCTTTGCGAGCCCGAAACGGATAGCGTTCCCACCCACAGCTCCCCCCCTGTGGTGTCGAGGAAGTGCCACGCCTGCCACGCTTTGCGAGCCCGAAACGGATAGCGTCCCCACCCACAGCTCCCCCCCTGTGGTGTCGAGGAAGTGCCACGCCTGCCACGCTTTGCGAGCCCGAAACGGATAGCGTCCCCACCCACAGCTCCCCCCTGTGGTGTCGAGGAAGTGCCACGCCTGCCACGCTTTGCGAGCCCGAAACGGATAGCGTCCCCACCCACAGCTCCCCCCTGTGGTGTCGAGGAAGTGCCACGCCTGCCACGCTTTGCGAGCCCGAAACGGATAGCGTCCCCACCCACAGCTCCCCCCTGTGGTGTCGAGGAAGTGATAACAGAAGTGCCACGCCTGCCACGCTTTGCGAGCCCGAAACGGATAGCGTCCCCACCCACAGCTCCCCTCCTGTGGTGTCGAGGAAGTGCCACGCCTGCCACGCTTTGCGAGCCCGAAACGGATAGCGTCCCCACCCACAGCTCCCCCCCTGTGGTGTCGAGGAAGTGCCACGCCTGCCACGCTTTGCGAGCCCGAAACGGATGCACAGCTCCCCCCTGTGGTGTCGAGGAAGTGCCACGCCTGCCACGCTTTGCGAGCCCGAAACGGATAGCGTCCCCACCCACAGCTCCCCCCCTGTGGTGTCGAGGAAGTGCCACGCCTGCCACGCTTTGCGAGCCCGAAACGGATAGCGTCCCCACCCACAGCTCCCCCCCTGTGGTGTCGAGGAAGTGCCACGCCTGCCACGCTTTGCGAGCCCGAAACGGATA